AGAGAGAGAGAGAGAGAGAGAGAGAGAGAGAATTATCAATATGCACGCATATCTTTTTCTACAACTGGTATAATAAAATCAACATATAGTACTAGACGGAGCATCTAACCAAAACCGTATGCCCAGACGTAGAAAGAGACAAGACGATGTGTATAAGGTAGTAGCGGCTCATGAGTCACAGGGCAATAAGGCACTTCAAATTTTATATGCATGTTATCTTACTTAAACAATGAACTATAAATTTTGAAAAAAAACTGATTATTTTAATTTTTAAAACGATTTTAATTTTACTTTTGACTTGTTATTTCTAATAAGTCTCGTTGAAATAATAGACAACTATTTAATAAGATATAGAAGATAAGATAAGATTAGATTTACAATTATATCACTGTGATTTTCAATAGTATACTTAGTCCGATTAGTGGAACAGTGCCAATCTGAACACAAAAGCCACATAATTTGTACATTACACAAATGTTTTCACAAATTGACAGTTCTAGATGCAAAAGGTGCCAAAAGTGCAGAATCACTCCAGCATCCTCTTAACATCCCCCTAACATTGCCCAGGAGCCAATTTCTAGCGAGCACGGTACTGTTCCCATTCTCTTAAAAAACAATTCAAAACTAATGTAAAACAGTAGAGTGAGTGATCCGTACCTACACATCTATTTTTCTCTTTCTAGGTCCCGGCATACGAAAGATTAAAGCAATCTTACCGCATGCTCGGGTCCAGTACTACATGTCGATGTGTAATACTGATAAATGTAGAGCAGAGTTTCTCAAACCTTTTTGGCTCACCGCCCCCTTTTCAAAGATAATTTTCTTTAGCGCCCCTTCAGGAAATCTCTATCTCTATCTTAATTAATAATAAAATTGTAAGTGTAGCTGTAGTTTTTAATTTCACCAAAATATTTTTGTAGCTGTGTGAATAATTTCATAAAGCTAGTTTAGAATAACTTGAAACTGAAATTTTAAAGCTATTTTATTAAAATAAAACAACAGAGAAATTGCACATAAGAAACATAAAATTGCTCACTATTATTAGTAATTAATGTATTGATTAAATCCGTAAAAAATAAAAATAATTACTAGTGAAAAATGGTTACTGCCGCTGGGGCCAGCAACGCCCCCCCAGATCTTTCCAGCGCCCACAGGGGGGCGGTAGCGCCCACTTTGGGAAACTCTGATGTAGAGCTTCGACTGACAGGAAACGAAGAGCATTATGAAATCGGAGTTTCTGTCTCATGTCTCAGAGTTTAATTCGATGCAAGTGTTAAAATTACTCCTATTCTCACAAAGCTTATAAAATTAACATAGCGCGTACGTTAACAAAATATCACGTTTCAACTTTGTATCCACCTGCGAGGGGCGATAATTAAGTTGATAAAACTGTCTGACAGATATCCATTGTGCTGCAACTCAGTTGGATACAATAACATCATCTACGACTGACATGGAAAACATTAAACTTATTCCTTCGCTGGAGTCAATATCCAAACAAGAATTATATGACAACTGGGAGAAAAATGCTCCGAAAATTATGTTTGGTGAACATCAACTTTCCTTAGATATAAGTGAAGATGTCGGCGAATTTTTTCGTGAGAAAGCCAAGAAGGAATTGCGGGAGACGCCAGAAGTTGTCGCCCAAGGTTTCAAGGAATTGAAAGAATTAATATCAGGTAGTAAAAGTTTAATCGTACAAAAAATGTAGTTATCATTATGTTAAAAAGCAAAATTGGTAAACTAACTAAACGATGAAGAGTAAGAACAGGAAAATGTATAAATGCGTAAATTATATTCAATAAATCTAGTTCTCCTATGCAGTAATCTTATGTGGTAATCGACAGCTCGTACACACGATACACCTTGCGTTCTCCTATTTTAGGTGATTTTTAAGTCATTTTATGAAAAAAAATTTAATATGAACATGTAGTCTTAAAGGCTCTTAGAAATACAAGGTATTAAAAATTCTTAAGAAAAATCTTAATAAAATAAAAAACCAACATTTTTATACTGAATTTCGCTATTTTGAATATGATAGATGCCTATTTGTTTCTGCGCAATCACGACGTTGTTAAACTTACTGCAACTTGAGATTATCATAATGTAACGAAGTAAGTCTCACAAAAGATATTGGTGTTATATTCTGCACTGTCATCGAAAGAAACGCGACATATATTTTATATAGTTGATATTATTATTGTAGCCGTTTTATTTTTTGATTCACTTTGCCGTTGATTTTGTTTGCAGAAATTATACGCAAATTATAATATTCCGTACACAAGCTACAGAATTGTAACCATTGTCTTTTTATTAAAATATCTCTTTTATTTCATTTCTTTAGAGGAACCTGATCTGCATGTACCGAAAGACATGGAGGACTTCCTTATAGTATTCTTGCGTCCATGCAAATGGTATGCGGAGAGCGCTTTCATACTAGTAAGTCATATTTCGTAGTATTTTTAATATCACAAATTAATCTTGTTTTAAATATATTAATCATTGAATATAAAATGCGTACTGAACTGCAAAGAAAGCAGGTAAAAAGTTATTTTCAGTCATTTACTAGATTAATTATTAATTAAACCTTGAAAATATGTGCTAAATAATGACGGCCTTAATGTTTTTGCAAAGGAAAGATCGCTCCCAAATTAGTTGAGGTCGAGGCTAAAAATACATCCGATTAATTCTAGGATATTCTGCAATTAATACAGAATTTAACAATAACAATAAATTGCTCAAACGTTTTATTCAACAGATGCAACGGTATTACCGATTCCGTCAAACCTATTCACACTTATATAAAGATTTGTCTATCAGTAAAGACAAAACTGCAATGTGTGCCGGCATGGTGATTCTACTGCCGCTTCGTACTAAAGATGGAAGCAGAGTGGTAGTAGTCGATTGTGGAAAATGGGATCCGAAGGAAGTGTCGGTCGATGAATGTGTTAAAGGCATCATAATCGGCTTGTTTTTAACGTTTGTGGAATACAAAACTCAGGTTTGTTATCGGAAAGTATTTCTTCAATTGATTCAAGACAGATTGGCATTCACTATAAAAATACTTAAAATTAGTCATAAATTTTTACAAAAATTAGTAGGAATCTCTAGAGTGTCCCACAAATATATGCGTGAAATTTTAACAGTAAAATCTTGCTTTGGTTTTCAGATTGCAGGTGGGCATATTATTTTAGACGTCGAAGGTACATCTTTTGGTCAGTTAAGGCACGCCACCGTGTCCTTGCTCAAAATGATGTCACATTTTTTACAAAGATGTTTGCCCATTCGTGTCAAAGGTTTCCACGTTGTAAATCAATCTCGTGTCGTCAACGTAGCACTCGCGTTGATCAAACGTTTCATGGAGGTGTGATCTTATGATACATCTTTATAAATTGTCATGACAATTTTGTGTTGAATTTTGGAGCTTTAAAAATTTTATAACGTGATTATAACGCAGGAGAAATATCGCGATCGGATTTACATTCATGGGACAAACTGGGAGTCCTTAATGACTCACATAGATAAAAGGGCATTGCCTAAGAAATATGATGGTGATATAGAAATGCCCAAAGAAGAATGCGGTGTTGCGTTATGGCAGAATTTCCTTTATCTCGAACCTATGTTTTTAGGTAATCATATACATATATTATAAATTAATGTTTCACTCACTATTTAAACCGTATCGATATAATTATATCGATATAATTCTTCGCTGCTTGAGGTAATATTTTTTGCAATAATATTTCTGCCAGTTCTAGTCGAATAATATTGCTGGCTCTGAAAATTATATTTTGTTTCAGCTGAACTGCAATATGGATACAAAACTGATAAAGATAAGATGTAACAGCTGCAAAAATTATCCGGTCAATATGTTACCATCGTTATTATGGTCATTATGGTTATCAACTATGACGTAAAGGTATCTAATATCGCCTAAAAAAATTCGATCTCAATTAAAGGCTATTTAATATTTGTGTCTGTATGTAGGTTCGAATAAGAGAAAAAACATTTGTATTTTATTTACAAGAGGTTAAAACGGTTAAAATCTGAAGAATTTTAATTCAGTTTAAAAACAAACAAAAATAGTAAAAAACGTGAAAATAATATATACATATATAAAAGGTAATTTTAAAATTTTTTATCATATATATAAAATGTTTAAAAGTGATTGGAAAGTTTTCAATTTGTGAATATGTTTATATGTTAAAAAATAACTTTATTATATGTGACATATTTTGAAACATTTTAAAAGTGTTAATTTTGTTCACGCGATATCACGAGTAGTGATATTACGTGTTGGGCGATATCAGGTGCATTTACCCTACGCAGGAAGGTGTAACAAAAAAGTTTTTAAATTATTGGTGTAGAATACCCGATGAGTTGCAACTAATAGTTATTTGGTTGTTAGATTTTGAATTCGCAATTGCGTGGAAAGTGTCTTTTTAGGGGAAAGTAGAGTAAGATATAGTTGAGGATTTGGTGATATAACTATACTATAAAATAAAAAAAAAGGTTGTAAATTTGTTTTTACATACTTGTTAGTATGCAGTCTACGCTATAACTCGTGCGCAAAACTTTTTATTATTATTATTTATATTCTAAGGGGATCAATATTCTTGGATCAACGTATACTTGTATTTGCATTTTTGAAAAATGCTTTTTTATATGCAAGTATGTTAACTATGTGGAAGGATTATTTCTGCAATGTAGATTTATTTTGTGAATAATTTTGCTGAACTTAAAATTTTACTATGTCATGATCGCGCTACGTTGATACTTTGCCTGTTGTAATTGATAGAATTTTTAAGCTCTTTTCGCTTTAAAAGGAAATAAAAACAATTTGTTGTTATGATATTAATCGTCAGAAGGGTGGATCGCCAGTGAATAAAAACACAAAATTCAAGACTCTCGACAATTACTAGCACAGTATATTTCTTAATTAATACACGACGTTTCGGCCAGTAATACTGGTCCTTATCAAGTATAACTCATTAAATGTGACAGCAAGAAATCTAATATATTGAATAAAATAAGAGTTAATCCATTTTTTAGTTTATATATATTTTACCGTGTGTTTTAATGCGGCTTCTCGACCACGTTCTTCTACATAAACGGATACTTTGAATTGTCACCCGTAAGTGTCAGCGACCTGGTTGCGTTCTTATATTTTATATATCCACCTTCTGTATTAACTCTTATTTTATTCAATATTTTAGATTTCTTGCTGTCATATTTAATGGGTTATACTTGATAAGGACCTGTATTACTGGGCGAAACGTCGTGTATTAATTAAGAAATATACTGTGCCAGTTATTGTCGAAAACTCTTGAATTGTGTGTTATGAAATTAAATTATTTTTTATGTTTCTCTAATAGAGTATGTAATTTCTAATGCTTTCTACGAATTTTGAAAAAAAAATGCATTTCTTTAATTGAAGTATTTATTAAATATCTCTAACAGTAGATAATTTTAAAATTAAAAAAATTTATTTTAATTCTATAAAATATTTTTGTAAGATGTAACTTTCACAGTGAAGAAAATTAGATTTCTTATTTAACAAAAACAATAATTTCATTTAATAAATAGTATGCTATATTTCATGAAATCTTTATTTGAATGTAGCAAATGTAAATATTTAAATTAATTAACTTAATATAATACATAGATTTATTTGAAATATGAGATATATTTTTATTAAAAAATACTTTTAAGTAAATCTATTTAGTTAAAAAAAATTTTATCAGGGTATAAATACGATTTCTATGTAAATATAATAAAGTCGATACGTCGCGAGATGTTGCACTTATGACGCGGCAAATAGTGAAAATAGTTTCTCATCTATGAAGACGTTTAGCAGCAATGCTTGGAACATTATACTACTTGTAATTCGTTGTATCGTATCCACGCATTAGAATGTAATGAATATTAAGTTCAAGAGGGCAGCGTGTGGATTTAAATACGCAATGTCAATGTGGCGTAGACCTCTATAAATATTCTATCGTATCTATTAATTTATTATATGTATATTGTTAAAATATAATCGTTTATAATATAATTTAATAATCCAGATACCTAAATCTGATGTCTGCTGCAAATTTGTCAATAAAATACTAACTGAAATATAACCATGAGACTTGATCACTATTCGTTACATGCTATCGCCTACACTGGGAACATCTCTTTCTCGCGACACATTTACCCACATTTAAAATTATTTTCTACAAATAAGCAAAAGAGTGAAAACGAGACGGAAAGGGATGAAAAGAGAGCGGGAAAATACAACAATATATGTAGAGAGAGAGAACGGAAGAGTGAAAAAGAAAGAGAAAGATAGAATCCTAGTGAGAGGAATCAAGAGAGTCATAAAGAGAACGAGATAAACGGAAACAAATGACAGATAAAATGATACTGATAGATAAAATTTACAACTACAACATACTTAAATTTCAATTTTTTTCTACTTTTGGTCGGTTTTTGCAAGAGCCACCTTAAATTGCGAAATTATAGATCATTGCATCATCTAAAAGGAAAAAATTTCACAATGATTGTATAAGGTAATTCGATAAAACGCAGCGGTTTTGTAGGAATAAAATTTCTACATGGTATTTGCCAAAAAATTGATAACTTTAATTTAGGGGATAAATCGTGCACAAATATTTCGACACTTAGAAGCAAAATTGCCCAGTAACACAGTCACGTGTAACAAATATTCAGAAAAGATTTAGCGTGGAACGTATTTACTGCTGGGCCTACTTTTATCCTATCTCATGTGAATTTTACTTACGTATGAGTCGCCTTGTAGCTGGTGCTCGTCGTAACCCGATAGCAATTTAATTGTGTGCAAATATGCCAAGGTGATTCGTCAAAACTCAGCTGTTTTACTGACATATTATTTAAAAATACATTGCGCAAATTGGGTCAAGAAAAAAATTCGTGGCGTTTTTTCCAATAGAATGCCTTAAAATTGCACAACTTTGGTAATACTAACCCTATCAAGCCATACTATAGCGCGTTTGAAAGGTGACAGTCCATAAATTATTTAAACAAAAAAATTGTGACATTTGTTAATTCAGTCGAAAGTAATTGCGTTTTGAAAATGAGCCAAAATTCTGAAAATATTTGCTATATTTTACGACGTCACTTCGACCAAGGCGATAACGCTTCGCAGGCTTGTGAAAAAATTCGTAGTGTTTATAGTGAAAATGTTTTATCAAAATCAGCAGCACGCAAATGGTTTGCTCGTTTCTGCTCTGGAAATTTCGATGTTAAAGACGCGCCGCGCTCTGGTCGACCAATCGTTGAAAAAGTCGATGAAATTCTCTAAAAAATTTAGGAAGACCGGCACATTTCATCTTATGACATCGAATTTCCAACTGCAAATCGCTGCTGAAACGAAACGAAATCGAGTCATTTTTTAAGAGATTGATAATGAGCGATGAAAAGTGGGTCACATACGACAATAATGTGCGAAAAAAATCGTGGTCCAAGATGGATGAAGCTGCACAAACGGTGGCAAAGCCCGGATTGACGCCACGTAAGGTAATGCTTTGTGTTTGGTGAGCTACTCCAACCTGACTAGACGATGGATTTCACTCTCTACTGACAACAACAATGCAATTAAAACGGGCAATTGAGGTAAAGCTGCCAGAATTGATCAATAGGGAAGGCGTTGTCTTCCATTACGATATATAATGCTACGACAATGCTTCCATTACGACTACACACATCTTTGATGACTCGGCAAAAATTGAAAGAGCTTGGCTGTAAAGTTTTGATGCATGCACCACATAGCCCGGACCTTGCCCCGTCCGACTACCATTTGTTTCGCTCTCTGTAGAACTCTCTAAATCGTGTAAAGCTGACTTCAAAAGAGGCCTGTGAAAATCACTTGGTTCAGTTTTTCGCCCAGAAATCCTAGAAGTTCTACAGCGATGGCATAATGGTTTTACCAGAAAAATGGCAAAAGGTTATCGAACAAAACGGCACATATTCGGGTTAATAAAGTTCATTTAAAATATAAGAAAAATGTGTTTCAATTCTGGTGAAAAACCGCCACGAACTTTCTCCTTGACATAATATTTATCAATATTTGTTGAAAGATCTCTATTTCTGTATATGTTTTTCGAAATATGTACGCATAATTCCAGCATTGTAAGTTCCATCCAGATTTCATCACAAAATTTGCTAAACATTTTCCTATCTGGGTAATAAATTTTAGTTATGATATTACATAGCCTACTTCTATTATTCACAATTCGCTTGATTGACCAGAACTTGAAATTATTTAGCGATCCGACAATTCGAATAGAATAAGGCAGGGTATGATGTCTATGGTTTTTAAATTGCAAAAAGATATACAGTCTGTCAAGTAAGAGCGTGGTCGGGTTAATTTATAAAAAAAATTATTAAATATAATTTTTAAATACATGCATGCATTGTACTCGATGAGAACAAGGATGCAATTATGTTAATAATGCGTCCAGTCACCACCGGCGTCGATAATTGCCTGGCATCTCCGAGGCATGCTTTCGACCAAATTGACCGCATATTCTAGCAGCAAGGACCTCCAAATCCGACAAATCTCACTATAACTGCTTCAAAGTGTATACGGGTCATTCCATATCAGATTTACAATCAAAATTTTGATTCGCCTGAAAATTTTTTTTCTCGTTCTAGAAAGGAAAAAAAATGACACGTATTTTTTCTTTTTAATATGATATGTAAATTTTCCAAGTTATTGATTTTTTAATTTTTAAAGTGCAAAAAATTTTTTTTTCAATAATGCTTCTGCTATTCAACGAAGAGTATAGAATACATGATTAAAATATGCCATGGGATCTACTATTAAGTCT